ACATCTGCAGTAGATAGTCTGAGGGGCTTCCTTGAACAACCCCATTCTAGTTTTGCAGATTGCCACTTCCCCATGGAGGGAAAGCCCAGGCAGCCCATGTCAGCTGTGGGATCTCCTGTCTGCACGTTTCCAGCCAGGCTGTCAGTGTCAATGCCCTGATGGCCAGGGAGGCTCAGGCTGTGAGGCTGCCTCAGCACGTTTTTTGCACCCCTCTTTTGGAAAAGGTTAAAAATGCAGCCACAGTGCAACTTACTGAGTCATTGCAATCACACAGATATTTTGCCTTTTTTCAGATATGTGCTACGGTGTGGCAGTGCTTGAAGCAGTGAAGCAAAGGGTTAATGCCAAATTCCAGCCGGAATCTGATGGCAGGGAAGGGGGTTGGCCTGGGATCTCTTTTGTATCTGGAATCTTAATGCCCCCTTTCAAAGATCTTTTCTTTCTAAAGCATTCCCTGACTATTGCCTTTGTTATCCAGGGCTGGAGCCTATGTGATTTCATTGATATTTCATAATGACCTGACTGACAGTGCTAGGAATTGGGCTTCTGCAGCCTTGGTACAGTAGAAACTGCACAATAGTTTCTTTTCATTAATGAAAGAAGAAATCTCTTGTGCTTATGACTGTCCTGTCTGGGTTTGGAATACCTCCAACTTATCTGCATGCCCTAGCTAGGCTGGCAGATACATTTGTGCCTTGTGCTATTCTTAGAACTCCCTTGATAAGATTTTCTTCTTGATACTGTAAGTGAAATAAAAGAAGTATCATTAGTTCCCAGCCTGTTCAATTCTCTTTAAAGTTGTTGGCTGCATCTCTTGTGTGTGAGGTCCCTCTTCTTCAGTTTTATATTTTCTAATGGGAATTTACTGTCACAGGGCAAGATGCCAGATATGTCCCTTTCAGGGCTTGAATTCTAGAAGATCAATGGAGCCTGACACCACTCACTCTCAGCCTTTGCCACCAAATTTGTCAGTATTCTCCTGGTTTTAGCATGCATACTCAAAGAAAAAGGTTAGTCCAGCTGAGGCTGGACATTACAGGAATTTGAAGGCAGCGTTAGTGGCAAGCAGAATCCCAGCAGTACCTGATGTCTGTTTTATTTATCATAATAAAACAAACCATTGCCTGGTTTGGCCCAGTGCTCAGTGGAACAGGCTGTTCTGCTGTTGTGCTGGAAGGATTTGCCAAGTCTGTGGGGTGCAGGAGGGGTGACAGGGATTTTGGGATTTTTGCCTGTTTTTGAAATCCTGTCATTATCTAAGCTCCTGTTTCTAGAAATCTAGTGGCCAGTGAGGGTTTTTTGGTGGATGGTGTTGTCTTTCCCCCACTATTTCCTTTTGTGCTTTAGCTGTTGAAGGGCTGTGTCCTGGCTGCTGTGGAACAAGAAGCAGCAATGGTTTGCTGTGTTGCAAATCCAGTGTCTGGCTCTGGTTGACCTACCTTTACAACTTCTGTGTCTTGGCTACCAGTGGATAGCCCAGTTCCTCTTGTTTCTTGGGAAAGGGTACTCTGATGTGATTTTAGGGAGGGATGGTGAAGTTATGAAGGTTTATGTTTAAAATTAATAGTCTACTGTCACCTCTGGACCCTACTTTTTTGAGAAGCTCATACCTATTATTTTAAATATGAACCAATCTCCTGCCTTAATACATAAATCCCATTGAGTGCCTACTTTTATGCTTACTGGTGTAAATAATTATAATGGGAAGGTAAAATGTCATCAAGACTTATTCAGCAGTGCCAATAACCATGACAAAGGAATAAGAGTCAAGTCAATAGTAGCTTTACAAGACCTGTCAGCAGCTATTAGATTGAAAAGGTTTTTCTGTTATTTAGGTCTTCTGAGACAATTTATGTAAATATGGCAAGGCTTGAATATTGTCTATGTACCTGAGTATGGAAACTCATATATGAATGAATATAGCATGAAAATATGCTCCATGTTCACTTTTTTTTTGGGTTGGGGGACATAAAGAAGCACTATTGAAGGTGGCAGCTGTGTTTTGAGGTGTGTAGTGATGCCTATGGATGTTTTCTGGGCTCTGATTACATAGTTACAAAACAAACCCACATTTTTTTTTCAGAATGCTCTGGATTCCTCAAGCAGGAACAAACAATTTCCTCCTTCCCTTTTCTCAACTGCTACCACTGACAATAAGATCTTTGCAATGCATAGCAGCTTTGGGAGTGCTTGCTTTTGGAATGAGACACCAAGTAATAAGTGATTGGTAGCAAGGATAGCCTTGCAAGTATGTTTTGCAGAGCAAAGGCATTCAGCATTTTTTTAGCTTAACTATCACTTTTCAGAGTGTTATCATTTTTCCTTCTAAAAAATCAAAGACTCAGTGTAAGCAAGCTTGTATAATGGGGCTATTCAGCCAGAAAATGCTTTGCAAGTGTGGGTGTATGGAGTACTGGAGTCTCCTCCACACTGTGTCTAGGGTTTTGCTTTCTGCTGTAGGACTGAGAAGGTTCATGGGTGGCTCTGCAGGATGGCCACAGGCAGCTGAGCACCTGTGCCATGTAGGGGTGCCTGACCCCCCTGACCTGGGGCCTGAGAGCTGCTCTGGTGTTGTCCTCACACGTAATCCTCCCCTGCTGCTCCACTCCCCCTTGCACATGCAGCAAATGCAGCTATTCCCTGCTCACACACATGCTTTGGGTGCTTATCCAAACAGCACTGACCTGAAGCTCTGAAATGAAACTGTGCGGAATGTCAAAAATGAGATTTATTTGCTGACAGCTCAAAAGGAGAGGAGGGAATTTTGATGAGAAATATCAGTTATGGCATGGCTTGGTTACACAATGAAGCTAAGAGTGAACTGTACAATAAGAGGTTTTATTTTACAGATCTTAGCTCCTGGCCTCACAGTGTATTACTGTATAAGCAAATTGGGTCAAACAGCCTGTCAAATATTAGGGATGGTCTGCTACAAATACAGCAGGTGTTTGTCCCTGACACGATCTGCTTGCCTAAGCCTGTCCTTAGACTGAAAGAGTTCACTGCCCCTCTGCTTTGTGATGTTTTGTTTTTTGTTTTGTTCAGTTTTTGACCTATTTACACACATTACCTAATGAAGGTGGCAAGCTCATTTCTTGTATCCCTCTTGCATGGTCAAAGTGAAGGACTCTGAAAATCCCATTTCTGACCAAAGATGGTCTATTACACATTTTAATTGCGTGCTAGAGGAACTATTACTGTGAAAATCATTTCTCAAGATTGGAGGCTGAAGATGATCATGCTGTATAATTCTTAAAGGCAGAAAGAAAAGCTGGGAAAAAAACAAAGCTTCTTAAAACTGTGATATTTTGGACTGATTTCTTTGGCTTTAGATTTTAATATCAACACAGCCAGGCAAACAAGGCAAATAACTTTTAGTCCACAAGTCCATTTTGATGATCCTGTTTACTCTGATATACCTGATCAGATATTCCTCCAAAAAACTGTTGCAAATTACTTCCTGTAAGAAAGGTGTTACAATAGGAATGCTGGACCTTAAGAGATGCCTTATAAATACAGACAATTTTAGGCTTCCCAAAAGCAAATTCTGCAGAGTTTGATCCATGAAAAACTTGATGTGAATTCAACAGTAAAATATAAAGAAAAATATAAAATATTTCTCTGCTTTGCACAAACCAGTCATGGATTGTGCTCTCATCCATGCTGTCTGGGAAAACAGTGCTTGTTTTGAACGCAAATAAATGTATTTGAAAGGCAACATAATTTCTTTCTTCCTTGCAGTTACTATGACTTCTCTGCAGCCTTCCTTTGTATTTTCAACTTGTCAGAGTACATTTGCAGACATCTAATTAAAGCAGACCATTTAAAATAGTAAAACCACCAGTTTCAGCAGCACCAGTGCCCATGTTTTACTTCTGTGACTGTTTATCAAAGTGGTTTATTGTACCACTGAATCTTTTCAAGGCTTGTTTTTTTCCCCTCTTCCTACCAGTTGTCTCTGTGCTGGGGCAGCTGCAGGGGAGGCAGCAAGGGGGAGGAGGAAGCCTCTAAAGTGTTTTGTCCCAGCAACCATTGTTACTCTGTGTATGTAATAAAGCACTGGAGATGGTGCTGAGCGTGTGGAAACCCAGGGCAGCGGGAATATTTCTCTGTCTGCTCTGGGGTGCCCTGACCCCCAGGGGAGCACTGACTTTGACCCTCATTCATGGAGAAAGTTTCCTGGACTTCAAGATAGACTAGAACGCACAAAAGTGTGAAATAGATTATAGAGAGCAGTGTAGGTGTATCACTTGGTGAGAAATCTAGGTTTTGTGATTTTTAGTATGTTGTGGATGGAAGCAAGATGGAGGGTAGAAGGCGCTGTCCTGGGTTTCTTCTTTGTGCTTCTTCTTCGTGGGTTTGGGTGGCATTTTGTATTTGGGCAGAAAAGTCTGCATGGTGGGCTCTGTGGGATCAGTTATTGGGTTAAAAGGGAAAATAATCTAGGTGTCAGTTTAGTCTTAAAAGACCTTGGAACAAGAGATTGTTGGCCATTTTGTGCCTTTTAATGAAAAGCTGCCGAACTCATAGCAGTGAGATTGTTTTACTGATAAGAAATAATAAACACCTGAGTGTAATCATGAACTACTCAAGTGCCTTCAATCCAGACCCAGAGAAACCCACAACTGGTACCCTGACAACAGGGGAGGGGGTAGAATATTTGATTTTGTTCCTATGTGCAGTTATGATTGGTGCTTTATTAATGTGACAGTACAGTCTGTCTCCTGCTGCTTTCCACTGATCCTAGCATTTGGGTCCTGCTTGTCTCTTGGAAGCTGCAAGCATCAGCACATGTATTTTCCCAGCCTTGTGCAATATAAGGATGTGAATGTTCAAACATGACACTTAAATGTTGTTTAAACAACTTCTTTGTTCATTCACAAAGCATGGACCTTTTAAACAAGGTGTGTCCTTTCTGTACGTGGAAGTCATGTTTTGTTTCAGTCACAGCAGTAGCTGAAGTGATTGTTTAACCTTCTGTCTCCCTGCTGTCTCTGCAGTGCACGTACATCGAGATTGAGCAGGTGCCCAGGACTCACGCTGTGGTGCTCAGCAGGCCCTCCTGGCTGTGGGGGGCAGAAATGGGAGCTAACGAGCACGGAGTGTGTGTAGCTAATGAAGCTGTCGTGACCAGAGAACCAGCTTCTGAGTCTGAAGCCTTGCTAGGCATGGATCTTGTCAGGTGAGTGTCCTGCTGAGCTGTGCCCAGCCTTTCATTGTCAGCCTCAGATGATGCTGGTACCAGTAGCAGCTTCGTGGTGTTGGTGTAAGGAGATTTCAAAGCAATATAAGCAGGCTCCAGATACAGCTGAGTGAAAACTTAAAACACTTGCAATCTGAATTTAGCTACCAAGAATGTGCCAGTCTGTTGTGGGTTCACTCAATCTACCTTGTCTACCTACCCTGCAGTCCAGCAGTGGCTATTCTGACAGGGTAAGAGATATGATTACATTGTTAGTAAGGAACTGTTAACTAATTTGTAATATTAGAGTTCTGGTGTGCCCTTCATTCTCCCCCACTTTACAACAGCCTACTCTGACCTAAAAAGCTTATTCTGGGCTTATAGCCAACTGTGGGCATAAACAAACTCCTATGGCTTCCTTCAGCCCATGCATTCCAATGCAAGGCACTGCCCGTATTCAGATGCTGACACACAGACTCCTGTGAGGCTGTTCATTGACAGCTGGCTCCCAAAAGCCTTGTGCTGCACTCTGAGTCTCAGCCTGCATGCTGATCCTGTGGTGAAGAGAATTTAAATGAGGCTTGGGTGGGGGATGAAAGCTGAAAATGGAAGAAGAGAGAACGTGCAGACTTATTACAAAGAGAAATGAAGCAAATGGACTCAATTCAAAGACTGAACAGGACAACAGCTGCATATTTAAGTAAATCAGTCTCAGACAAAATAGTCCTACTGGACTTTGCCTTGGTATACTTAATGAGCTGACTGAAGCAGTTACAGGTGAATTCTCATTTTTCTTGAAGACTCGTGAAAAATAGGAGATGTTTCATTTGACTCCAAAAAGTTAAATGTTGTGGCTATGCTTGATATTTTTAAAAAGAGTTGTGATAAACCAGCTTAATCTCAGTACCTGAAGGAGAAAGCCCTTGAATATCAAGGAGTTGAAAAATGCACAGTAATAACTGGTAGTCAAGAAAAATCCCCCTCAAACTGTTCTACTTTACTCCTGCAATGAGTTAAGATATTTTATAGATAAAAGGATAAGAAATAGATACCTTGACTTTTAAGAGGATGTTAAAACCTTAGGAGTTGTTCTTATGAGCAAGCTAGGAAGCATGGGTCAGAAGAACTTATTGTTAGGTCATAAATACCTGAAACTGTAACTGTAAGTGTTCTCTAACATGTCTTTGCAGAAATAATGTCTGCTTTCAGCTACCATAAATCAGGAGGAATATGGGCCAACCAAAGAGAATGCAGTGGAAATTGGAAATGTGATCAGAGAGCTATAAAATCTGACCAATGACAAAATCATGAGGGAATTTGGGTTAACTTTCTCTTTGGTATTTTCTCTAAGCCCTGTATATACTGAAGGAATTTGTGGAGAAGCTGTGCCTGAGAGAACTAGTAAATTTAATTGCATCAAAGGAGGCTGAGTAGATGTGAGGGGTTGTTTCAGAAAGTATAGGACAACCTTTTGTGAAGAAAAGGACTTAGATGACTTTCTACTTTTATTTCTTCCATCCTACCACTGTCCTTTTAAAACTTACAAACCATTGGTTTAAATGTCGATTTCTACTAACTTCTTACTCAGTTAGTACATTCTCAAAGGACTGTTTAATATATATGTTATCCAACAGCTCTAGATTTACCCACACTAGCAAATCAGGACATACCAAAGTAAAGAGGCACTGCCACAAACTACACAATCATCACCTGTAGGTGCTACCCTCCCTCTCTTCCTTCTTACCTGCAGAAGACATTGTAGCTCAGGTGCAGAGAGAGGGTGCTTCAGGCAAGGGGAGCCAGAGATGTGTTGTTACCATCTGCTGCTTGTTCCAGCCTAAGTGATTCTTATTCTGATTGTGAAGACCTTGCCGGTTGAATTAAGTGTGTCTGTTTCATGTCACCCCATAGAACAGAGAACAAAATTGATCTCTGTAGGCTGCAGTGAGGCAGCTGCCACCAGCTCTGCCTCTTTGATAGAGAATCACAGCATGTCAGAACACCTGAGTGATTCTTAACAAACTGATAAAGTTGTGTCATGGACTTCAGGGTTAGAAGTCCTATTCCATGCAGGCTGGTCCCCATCCCAGTTAATCTAAACGGGCAACATGGACTTAGTCACGACATAGAGAAAATATGCTCCAGTACAAATTCCTAAGGAACCTTTTGTTTTTCCCGTAGGGATTAATTCAAAAGCTGATTTTTGAAAGCTATACCAGTATTGCTGCATTAGTTAGCTTATCAGGATTTTCTTCAGGTATTCTTCCTAGCTGCCTGCATTTTTGTTTTGGTTTCTTTTTATTTTTTTTTTGATGCACAGTTGCAACTATAAAGCACCTGTTCACTGAGGGAAGCATGTTCTTCTGAAGAGTTCATGTACTGTGTTGCTGATAAGTTAGGACAGCATTATCATACAAAAGATAAACATGGAGAAACCAGTACATGACATCCTTATTTTTGCATTTTTGTCCTAATTTTAATCCCTATGTGTTTGTATTATTTATTTGTTCTCTTCATCACAGGTGCAATAATTTTTTCAGAGCCACACAGAGATGCCAATCTTGGCAGGGAGTCAAGAATGCTCTTTAAAATGGTATTAATTTGTTACCAATTTCTTTCCTTAGAGACCTCAAAGCTGAATAAAGTAAAATGCCATCAAGAATGTTAGTTAATTTGGAAAGCCTGCATTATGTAACTGATAGGTGAAGTTGAAAAGCTTAAGATAATATTGTTTTGACAATATGACAGCATATTGGAGGTACTTAGGCAGTGGATTGTACTAAATCACTGCCATTTTATTAACAAGTAATTCAAGCTCTCATCTGGCATTGAAATTGCTTCTAACTGTTCCTCCAGCTCACCTTGAAGGGTACTCTGAAGTGTGTTAGTGGGAGGATTATGCTGTGGTTGCCCAGGACACTGATGCTGAGATAATTGACAAGACTTAATTTTGTGGAAATGAGTTGTGTGGTTGTTGTGTAGGATGGATTTTTTTCCTTTTATTTTGTTTCTTTCTCCTGTTCCTTGTGACTGACAGATAGGAGCAGCCAAGCAAAAGCAAAGCCTAGACCATCACTTAATGGAAATAAATGTAACATTGGAGCCATTTATAAAAAAATAATACCTAAAGGGTTCTTCTTCAGCCTGAATCCCTGCTGCAGTTTTGACACTGAAAGCTAGGCTGTAACCATCTCAGATGGAACATTTCAGGGAGACATTAAAGTTTTAGTGGGATGTTGTGTCTCTTGGTAGGTTTTGACCTAAATGGTAGAGAGATCAAAATGGTTTTGGTCATTAACTGGGGAGAAGGGAGCAGATCATCACTGAATCTAGTGGCTGTATGGTCACCAAGGTAGTTTTCAGTCCATTCACTTTCCTGTGGCAGGGACTGCTCTTAGGGAACAAACAGGACATGCTTTTGGACTGCATTTTAAATTATGTCTCTGGGATGTGCAAAGACTGGCATAGCTGTAATAGCTGTATTGGTCTGAAAAAGCAATTGCACCAGTGATGAAAAGAATGAAGGAAAACCATAAATGCAGAGGGACTAAAAATGGAGTCACCAGTACCAAACAAGTTTCAGCTAACAAGAAAATACGAGAGGGAAAGACCCTATAAATGCAAGTAAGAAGATGATGGGGAAGGAACTGTCACTTCAAGTTAAGCCTTAAAATTCTAGTTGGCTCTTGGCTCTTCTTTGTGAGTTAGTGAGAAATAGATGCTGCTGAGAGAGATGAAAACACTGCTTTCAATAATTCAGCCTAAAACAAGGCTAATGGTAGCCAAGTATTTAACAATGCAGAGCCACTGCAGAGAAGCACTGAGATCAACAAATCTGCATTCAAATTATCAGGATCTGATTTGTCTACTGTAATTTTTAGGAAAGAAACAGAATAGTGTTTTCTTGTCATGTGATTTCAAGAGAAATTGAAAGAGCTGGCATGGATAGTACTTATGTCTAACAAAGTGATTTTCTTGGAGCTGTCCATCAGTCAAAATTATTTTGTCCATAGAGCAGTTAGAGAAAGACAAACACAGAGGAAAATATTAAGGTGACAAAACAACAGAGAGAAATTTTGGACTGAACCAGGTAACTCCCAAAGGATGGAGGCATGGATACACTGTTGTTTGAACCACTGCATTTCCTCGTTACCAGTAATTGGATTTTGGAACCAGTGAAATCGTTTGCAGTTCTCATGTCAGCTTCTGGTTCCTGCTTTTGTGGTTGATTCAATTAGGGCTGTAAATTATATCAAGGGATTATTTAATGCCACTTACTCAAGGCAGGATACAGTCATTCCCTATGGCTTTGTAAAATTTATTACCACACCTCAGTTTGCTTTCCTGTAAAATACCCTTGCTTTGCTTCAACTTCCTTTCAAAACTCTGTTTTTTCAGGCATGTGGTTGCTCTTTCTTCTGACAAAAGCCATATCTGGTATTCAAACCGTTTTTTGGGGAAGCCTCTGCAGGAGCTCTGAAGTATGACTGTGCACAAATGCTTGTCTTTACAGCATGTAATATGCATAGAAGGACAACACCTGATTTCCATGGCTAACCAGAGCATTGGGAAAGACAGGTTGTGGAGAGGCTGTAGTATTGAATACTCCTTCTCTTTTTAATAGCTGGTAATAATTATTTACAATTTCCCATCCTTGTACAGAAAAGTAACCTTGGTACAGCTGTTACTTAAAAAAAAATACTTGCAAATTGTCCTTCAAATGTATTCTGCCTGAGGAGGAGATAAATAGAGCATTGCATGTTTACAGTGCAGCTGAGATCATTGGTTGGTAATTGGACGTTTTTGAAAAAACTTAAAGCCAGCTATGATAGGCTTGAGAGTAGAGAACCAGTGTAGAAAATCAAGACTAGAAACAAATAATTCTATAGCTTATCCTTTAGTAACTAATTAAAGCAAGAACTCTTATATTAGGCATACCAGACAATTCAGTATTTTAAACTCAGATGAGTGCTGGTGTTTAAAAATAAAAACTTAAGGAGATCTTACTGTATCATTCCTCTCTGAATCTCTATTTTACCCTTTTCCTATAGACTTGGCCTAGAAAGGGGGGCAACAGCTAAAGAAGCCTTGGATGTAATAGTTGCTCTGTTGGAAGAGCATGGACAAGGTGGAAATTATTATGAAGATGGGAGTTCATGCCACACTTTCCAAAGTGCATTTCTGATTGTGGACAGGAATGAAGCCTGGATACTGGAGACTTCTGGAAAGTATTGGGCAGCTGAAAAAATCACAGGTTAGTTTAGAACTCACAGCAAATCCTATTAAAAATAGCTGTAAAGAGTTGTCTTGGAAGAATTGGTCTTAAAGTCAGGGAGTTTAAATAAGTGACTAATGAATGCAAGTGTTTCATTAAATCACCAATTATAATTTTCTATATTTGCACTACTCTGACTTTTTTTTTATGTGTTGATTTGCATTTGCTGATGTGACTTAGCATTTTCTGCGAAGGTGGAGATTATTGCCTTTATGCATAAGCTATGTAATAATCATAATTTTTATATTTGATAGGTGTATTTTCCAAGATTTATTTTCTGCTTGGAACAGGTCAGATGGTATTTTTGATGGAGATAATGCCCAAATTATTACTTACAAATCTAAAATTTTGTGAGGAAAGGATAACCATTGATAGTTTAAACAAAAGGGCTTTTTTCAGATGATAAATTGAATGGGTTGCTGGTGGTGGTTCCTTTACTGAAATAGATATACTCCTTTCATATCTCTGTTTTTTACATTATGCAAAACAATAATTTTCTGCTCTTTAAACTTGTAAATGGTTTCTTTTTCTGTATGTGTGAAGCCAGAGCTGCCAAACTAACTTTTAGAATTCACTGGCTTAGTGGATGAATTTATTTAAAACTTTTCCAGCATATATAGGCTGCTTAATATAATATGATTTTTAAGGCCTGTATTTAATTTATTCTCATCTTAATCTTGAAGAGATTTTTATTTTCATAAGACTAGAGCTTTTACAAAAGTATTTATGTTTGAATGAAGTGAAAATTCAGAGTGTTCAAGAGGACTTTTGTCATCCATGACTTGAGCTATGACAGATCCATTTAATATTCTCTCCTCCTTTCCCCCTAAATGATTAAAGGTAGGAGATAGAAGATATGGGAAGGAGCACAGAAACATCACCAGGCTGTGCAGTGTTTTGTCCCTGCCACTGAACAGGAATCAGTTTCTTCACAGAGGTGGTGTTTTCCCAAGTAAAGCTTGCATTTTGGGGATACCTAGAGGTGTCCTTAAAGGTTATCTGGCACGAACAGATACCGAACATAGAGGAGGGAAGACTGAAAATGCTGTCCTGATGAAACCCCAGTTCTGGCAAGCAGCTGACTCCTGAGGTTCCTGGGATTATGCAGTGACAGCCTGCCGCCTTCTCTTGACCTGCCTGCCTGATATTTGAAGAACAGTGGGTTTTATTTAGTAGTTTTAGCTGCATCAGCAGTCCATAACCTTCACATCCTCCTTCCCAGCAAATAAACTGTTGCCTTCATCTGCTGCTTGCAGCTTTTTGAAATGATTCTGCAGCTCTGTTCTGGTTTCTACCAGCACATTGCTCTTCAGGAGATCCCTGTGAGCTGTAGATAAGTAGTTTCCACCTCCTTCAGCCTGCTGGCTATGTAAGAACTCTATATTTCTTACTTTGTTCAGAGATGTCTTTTTTTGCAACCATAAGTGTGCCTCTTAAGCTTTCAAATGAATGCACAAATGCTGTTAAAATGGGGAAAATGTGTCATTCCCCAGTGTGAAGGCATATATTTTCCTGACTATCCTCAGAGTTCTGATATTACTGTAAAGCTCATAGTGAGTGTTTATCAAGCAACTCTCTGAAAATAATTTAAGAATAAATACTTCAAAATCCTTTCTATTAATGTTCCTGAGTCTCAGTGGAAAATTTGAATGATAATTTTTTTTGTGGTAGATCAAATCCATGAAATATTATTTTGCATGAGTTTATAAATGTAATACTTAAAGAGCTCTTTAAAGAGTGGCTTGCCTAGCTGGACATGAATACAAATATCCTCATCACTCAAGTCAAGAAAATTCCCAGAAAAGTATGCTCTTTGAAAGGGTGAGTCAGAATAAGCTGTCAGTGGCCCTGTGTAAGTCAGAATTGGATGTCAGGGACTTTTTCACAGAATGATGCACAGAATTTCCTGAAGTTGTTACCCCTTATTTAAATTGCATGCAAGGGGCATTGCAAAAGCAAGCTAACTTTTTTGGAAGGCAGTATTAAAAACTTCCACAGCTACTGGTTTTGTTTCTGTCTAAGAAATTATTTGTGCCAAATTCCAGAATCTGTGTTTATTTTAGTTTATAGTTTTAGTTTATCATCTCTTTCTCTGGCTTCCAGTACATTTGCTTTATTCTCTCTGAGGAATATCTGCAGCAACCACTGCCATGCTGTGGATATATGGTTATAAGCACTGCAGTATTTTTGATAAAAGGAACTAAAAAAAAATAAATCAGTATTCTTTGGAGGCTACTTACATATTCTTTTTACTTCATGCCATTTTAAAATCTAAGATAAAAGAATTGTAATTTGAACCTATCTTGCAGCTTACAGTGAAACTGTTTCTCAGCTGGGAAGCGTAAAGCAATTGTAATGATTTTAAAAACATTTTTCAAATTCTTAATTTTGAAGGGCAAGGAAGGTTCATTGAATGCAGCTCTGCTGAAATATGTGTTGAAATCAAGACAGATCTCAAGCCTTCTTTTGTCTGTGGAGAATATGCCATTGGAAAAATATTAGGTGCCTTTGGCATTTGGATACCACCATTGCTTTGTGGTCAGAAGGTGTGAGGTGTGGATTGGGAAACTGGCATTCTGTCTAAATCCCACTGTTAATCACAGGTGTCAGTGTCTCAGCAGGGCACAGAGGATTGAGCTCTGCAACCTGCAGGGATTGGTAATTCTGTGCATGTGTAATTATATAGTTACACAGTCATGCCAAATGCACACACTAACCAATGGATTAATTTGTTTCCTAATTGATATGACATTTTCCTTCCAGCTTCTCCCAGGAAAACTGTATTAATGTTCTCTTTTAATATGTGGCTCTTTCTAGAGGGAGTGAAATGCATTTGCAATCAGCTTTCATTAACTACAAAAATTGATGCTGAGCATCCTGAACTAAGGAATTATGTGAAAAGTCAAGGCTGGTGGAACGGAGACTCTGACTTCAATTTTTCTGAAGTGTTTTCTCTTGCTGATGACCATTTAGCCTGTTGTTCTGGCAGGGAGAGCCTAGAAAAACAAGGTGGTAAGTGTTGAACTAATTTTTTGTGGGCACACTGGGTTTTTTAGTCACTGCTGCCTCCTTTTCAGGCATTCTGTCCAGAACTACATGTGGCTGAGAACACCTCTACATGTAAACTGTGTAGGAAGGAACATCAGAACTAAAGACTGTCCCTAAATTTGCCACTATTTAGGATGGAGCCCTTAATGTCACCCCCAAGGTTTCAAAACAGGATTGCAATTACAAAGTAACTTCCTTCAGGGCTCTGATGTGCATGATGTGCCACTGCATCTGGGCTTTCCTGCAATTTTAGTGGCCCTACCTAACACTAAAATTATACTATTTAAAAAAAAAGGCCTCACATATCAAAGATTGAGCTCAGTGGAATCTGCATTGTGGGGAAAATGTAGATTTAACCTTTTGGGAAAGTTCCAAGAGCACAGTTTAAGGAAGAGCAGTTGCAAACTGAAATCCCTTTTTTTTTGTTGAGCAGGACAAAGCTACTGAAACAGACATTTTGCTGTTCTCTGCAGTCAAAGGAAGGGTTTATTTCCAGACCCAGATTTATTACTGACTTCAGTTTGCTGCAGCTGGCCAAAACACCTCTGAAATGGACAGCCTGCAGCAGTGCATGGGAATGCATGCATATCTGCTCTTTCATGCATGAAAAATAGCACAAATTACCATTTTCTAAAAAGCCCTTTACTACAGATGTGAATTTACTGGACTGTTGGCATTTTCACATGTGGGTAAATGTTCTGAAGAGTGTAGAGATGAGAAATTTGTTGCGCTGCAGAGTTCTTGCAAAGGCTGTAGCATTGCAGGGAGTGTGGTTAGTGTCTGAGGCAGATACAGTAACTCTGAAGGACTATAGGTAAAAGATCTTAATAAATCTGGATTATAGCACTAAAAACCCCAAGAGCCCCTACAGACAGATGGCTATGGATGAAAATCTTGCAGGCTGCTGAGTCATTCTGTGTCTCCTGGTGTGTTGAGGCACCCGTGCATGGAGGTTTCAGTCACTGCAGAGCCTGAGAAGGTATGGGGAAGAAGCCTGGCCTGCAAAAGGAGAAAACATGGAGGGGCAGTGGGGGAAAGCTGGGATGAACACAGGCAGGAAACATGGTGAGAACAGAGGATTCTTGTAGATAGGGATTTGGAGAAAAATCTTGGTGCCTAGGTCTGCTGCTGTAACATTCTGTGACTGCAAGATGATGTTTCAAAATTTCGATTGAGAATGGAAATTGAGAGGTGGAAATTGAGAAAATCAGGGTGTTCTCATTCTGTCCTGCTAGGGTAGAGGAAAATGGACGTTTTAAGTAAGTAGTCTGTTCATATTGACTGCTAAAGCAGTATTACAGCCTTCTTCCTGAAAATGTACCTTTTTAATAGCATTTCTGCTATTGAAGCATTACCTGGCAATTGCCATGCCTAATTAATGCCTCTTACCATTCTCATTTACTAGCTAGGCATGTTCTTTCTGAATTGCTTAAGTAGAAACTCTTAACTGGGATTGCTTAAGTAGAAACTCTTAACTGGGATTTGTGACATGCCCATGTCAAGTGTCAGTGGCCATTTTAGGCCAAAGCTTGTTCAGGCTAAAATCCTTACCTGGGCTCCAAGCCATTGAACACTCAGGAATGTTTTCCCCCCTCCATATAGGTGACGTTTCTGCACAAGCTATGATTGATGTCCTGCGTGACAAGGACAGTGGTGTCTGTGTGGACTCTGAATCTTTCCTTACTACAGCTAGCATAGTGTCTGTTCTGCCTCAGGACCCTAGTTTTCCCTGTATTCATTACTTCACTGGCACGCCAGACCCTTCAAGGTAAGCCACAGCACTGGGCTCCCTGGGGTGCAGAGCAGTGATGGGCTCAAAGGTAACCAACAAACCCTGCCACCCAAACTGGAACATACTTCAGGAACATGTTCTAACCAGAAATGCAGTCAGCGCTCTGAGATGTGCAATCTGACAGTCCTGTGTTACTGAGCTTCCAGGGGAAATGCACTTTATGCAGGGCCAGGAATTCCAGTGTAGTTGTGTTCCACTTGGAAAGTTGTTGAGGTGATGAAGTTGGGGACTTCCCAAGTCACTTCTCTTGAACAGGCAGGTGCAAAACTCCAGCAAATGAAGTGTTGTGAGAGGGGTTGTGTACTCCAGGTAGCTTCATATGATATCAAAATGTTAACACAGAAATACATCTGCAAGTTGCTGGGATCCCAAGCATGTTATTTATTCAAGGGACAATTTCCAGTTGGTTTACATGGTGTCCTCTCTAGCTGAAAGTAGCTGAGGAGATTAAGGAACTCATGGGCCAGATCATCAAAGATTAATGAATTATCTTGTGTTTTAAACAGAATCCACTTGGGATTCACAGAAATTAAACTAAACCAATTACAGTTATTCAGGAGATCTGCCACTTGCATTGAGGTAAAGAGGTTATGGGGAGAAAAAAATGGTGCCCTTGAACAGCTGTCATTCCTGTCAGAAGACTGGTAGTAATCATTAGGTTTTACTGAGGGCTGTGGAAGTCATCCATGCCAAAGGGACTTTCCACCCACCTTGCATTATGCAACTCAGACTTTCAGGGTTTAAGTGTCAATTCTAAACTTGCTTACCCAAACTTTTCTTTGACTTGGTGCAAATCCTCTGCAATAAAAAGGAGCAAGGCTTCAAATTATTTGTTGGGATTTCTGTCCATTTGAAGGTCAAAAACCTGCCTTAAAAGCCTTGTTTAGAGACCTTTCTTGCTTTATTCGACACTGTAATGCATTAAGAAAGAATTATTTTAAATGCAGCTAGTGAGTCACGTAAATTCTTAGTCAGCAAGGCTTTGTGACACTGATGGAAAGGGTTGCAGCACTGAACCTGCTGACTGTACACAGGCAGTGGTTATTAATTGTGTGTTGCAGAAGTCTTCACTTTTGGCAGGTTCTTCACTGCATTGGCAGAATGCAGGGTGCTTTGTTGTTCTGTATCTAAAGAAAAGGAAGGCAGTTGTTCCGTCCACTTGCCAAAACCTATTTTCAGCTTCTCAGGAATGAAGATTCTGTATTGATGGGGTTTTTTGTTTGACTCTCTTAGGAGTTTAGATCCAAATTCAGTGTTAAAATAATTTGAGAAATGTCACAATATTGGTAGCCCTTGTCTTCCCTCAGCTCTTGAAGTAGAATTCTAAAGTGCTGCTGTTGATATGCAAAATCCTCTGATATTGAGCAAGATATGTAATCTTCCCTGCTCCACGCAAGTGGTTTTTTCTGAATTATTAAAACTTAAATCTGGAAAGAGGAGGAGAGATGCCAGTGGGAACAGAGGAGAAAAACTGATGTGAGGCCGAATGTTGAGATTTGTTGCAAAAGAACTTGGAGGAGAAAATCAATGCTACTCTTCTAAAGAAGTGGCAGAACTGGCATGAGGACACCAGAAAATCTTATTGGTAAAAGGGGTAATAAGTTTTTGCAATAATTGCCAAACCCAGTTCTTTTAAAGCACGTAGATTTGTTTTGCTTGACCAGTACCAAGTCTCTAACCTTGCCCATGCCTAGTGTAGATGAATTACCTATGCTGCTCTGTATGTGTTGTTTTAATATAAAATGGTGAACATTTCAATAACATATATGAGATCTCTCTTATTACTGCAAGCAGTAATTCTTATTTCTTTCAGGTCCATATTTAAACCCTTTATTTTTGTTGATGATGTAAAATTAGTACCAAAAGTGCAGTCTCCTTCTTTTGGCAATGATGATCCTGCTAAAAAGATACCTCGATTCCAGGAGAAACCAGATCGCAGGCATGAATTGTACAAGGCACATGAATGGGCTCGATCTCTCCTGGAGAATGATCAGGTAAGAGCTGTGGCACCTGGAATTAAAGAACTGAAGTTGTTGGAACCCTGAATACTGAGAGTACATGGCTTTCTGTGCTGAAAGGCACAGACTTTCAAGAGAGCATTACATTTGACTTGAGACTATGGAGAAGGCTTCTAAAATTGAATGATAGAACTGAGATTATAGGTGTGTAGTTTGAATAGAAGTCAATGTAGATTCCCAACTCCATACCTCAGTTCACAGTCACTCGCTGAAAAACATTCTCTGAATATTCTTAGAATCCTTGAGAGTTTAGCTTGAATAATGATGCCCTCTGAAGGACAAACTGTTCTGCATAGTTTTTGTTGTCCTGAGAGTATAGCTCTATTCCATTACTTCTACAAAATGAAAAGCCAAACTGTTAAGCTGATTATCTTGTTCAATCCCCACTGTGCATATAGTCTTTTTAGTGATTAGAGCACTGGATGATAGTGCAACATTATATCAGAATTATGTGCTAGGAAGAGGGCAGGAGTGTTGTGATTTAAATCATATGCTGGATTAAGAACTACATAGTTTGGAAAGGTATTTTTCTTGAAGGAATAATTTGCACATGACAGTTTTGCAAGTCTTGTGTTTTGCAATTCAATGCATTTCTGTTAATTTTGAACCAAAAATGCTATATGAGAAGAAAGGACACTTTGCAGCGCTATGCAGTACATGGGACTGAAAACCTGAGGGTTGAAAACCTTCCATGGTAAAAACTTAGTGTTGAAGATCTCTTAGGCAATTAATTTTGGAATAAGTAAAGTCAGGAAGGGGATTATTCTGTATTGCTTTTCCAAATGGTTGAGATAGAACTTTTGGTGTCATTGTGCAGGTAGTTCAACAACTTCTCAACATTTGCAATTACAACTACAGCAGTAAACTGGGTAAGTGGTTTTAGGGAAGTGAAACAGAGGGAAAGATGACCAAGGCACCTGGTCAAGCTTTTATGGGTATTCAGGCAATTTGTGGAAGACCCTCACATAGTTGGGTTGAACTCCCACAGAGGATTGGCTTTTCTACAATTTTCCTCTGTGTCTATTTGCATGGGTCAGAGTCTTGCTATGATCATAACAACATTCAGAGACCTGCTCACTATTGATAAAGGAAGCTATGATAACTTCTGCTAGTACAAACATTATTTAAATGCAGTTTGGGCTAGATTATTAATTTCTTGGAATGGTGTAATTTAAAATCTGTGGCCTCTGGTAACACTGTTTTAGTATGCAACTGGCTCTCATATCATTATGCAAGATGTTGTTTAAGGGAAGACCTGGAAGAGGCATCTTAGCATCTTGTGGACTCGCCTGGTGAAGTCTCCACAATGTGACACCAATAGTTGTGGTAGAAAAGAGAATGCAGTTTCCACTCAGGTTTCATGCTATAAAACCTGCTCATCCAAGAGCCTAAACCTTAGATGAGATGCCCTACTCTTTCTGGACAAAATGCTGAGGAAAAAAAAAATTCAGAACCATCACTCATTCTAAATTACTTTGGTTTCCCCTGAAACTCAGTTTTGAAAGCTGCAAGCAAAACAAACAGCACTTCTCCATTAAAAAAAAAAAAAAGAAAAAAAAAAGGAAAAAAAAAAAGGTAGAGTTTCAATTACATTTGGATAAAATGAGATTTTCCAGGAGTAAATTTTCTAGAAAAACAAAGAGCAGTAAGTCAGAAGACCTCCGTGGGATCTGGAGTCTTAATACTGTTACATGACACATCATTTCAGATCTATTCATCATCTTGCAGGTGTTGACTTGAGAGATGCACATGCAAATACCACAATCTGTTCAATTCTTAGGGCTTCCAGTCTTCTCACATAGTTCTGTTAGTGGGATTACAAGCTTAAGAACTTGCTTTACCTCTATTATATGTACAAGCCTTGTATAATTTTCCTCTATCCATCTTTCACCCTCTTCCTTTTTTGCTTTAAACTTAGCAACTCCTTTTTGGTTATTTTTCTTAAGGCACAAAATGTCCAGGACTGTTCCTTTAAGCCTTTGGCCATCCAAAATAACTAATAACAGAAGTAGTTTGTACTTTAAAAGGCTTTTTCTTTTTAAAAATATTTGAAATTATCTCTGTAATAAAGAGAGTAAAATGCTTTAATGAGCCTGTTTGCTGGTTAACTGAGTTTGGTTATTTCATGCCTTTAGGATAAAGGCCAGAAACTGATGAGGATTATGTTAGACCTTGAAAAACAAGGTTTAGAAGCAATGGAAGATATCCTTTCTCGTACAGAGATTCTGGATCCAGCTGAAGTAGTGGATCTTTTCTATGACTGTGTTGACACAGAACTAAAGTTCTTCAAATAAAGTAAGCAAACAATTCTTTAGTTATTACTCTACCAGCGAATGTGAAATGTTGGATCTGATTCTGAACCTCCTCCTCTTTTACACTAAGCTGAGGATGTTAAGAATTGGGTTCAAACCCATCTTTCTACCTGCTCAGCTTGTCTCCAAAGTCCCTTTTCCCTATGCTGCATTGCAGGTGATTTTTTTTTTTCAATTTCACTCTTGTTTGGCATGGATTTTCAACAAATTTTATCTCATTTCAGCTACAGTGGCTATTGTTAGCCTTTTCACTGGAAGACTGCAATGCTCTTCAAGCCTTGAAAGAAAGTCTTCACACTTGTGATTTTGCAGGAAAAAACATTTCTAGAGGAAAAAATGTTACTTGCTAGCTGTATCCAGTTAACAAATTGCTTTCCTTTGTCCAATCTTGTGGTGTTCCTGTTTGTGTATGTATATAGTGAAAGGAGAAAGTCACTGACTGGTCCAATTACTGTGTGCATGCTGGCTAATTTAGTACAGAATGTTAAAACATGTATGTTGGGCAACCAATTAAAGTAAAGATTTAACTTCATCAGGCTAATTGCCATATTGTCATTGAAAACAATCTGGTTTTCCCTCTGTTGCTCAGGACTAGGCTTGCAGCAAAGCTGACTTGCATTTTTCTCTTCTTGCCAATTCATACGGAGTTGAAATGGTAGAGTTGAAATCACAGTTTGAGACGGGCAGGAAGGTAAGTCCTGGCTCTTGACCTTGTTGTGCTGGCCTCATATGGCCATATCTGGTTGCAGTAACTCAGCACCTGACATTATGCCTGTACAAATTATCAGAATTCAGTCCCCAGGTTAAGTTCTACCCTCACCCTCAGCCAGCTTGTGTTTGCAGTGCACCTGGCTGCTGCTCCACAACCGAGTCCTGAAGTGCAGAGCCAGCCTGGATCTGCAGAGATCTACACATATTGGCTCCTAAGATGCAATTAATAATGTGTCAGATTTATATACAAGCTACAGATTTGGAATCTTTTAAAGGAATAGATGCTGGACATTGATAAGTACCTGGCTATTCTCCATCTTTCTGCCTTTGTACTGCTGAACAGCTCCTAGTAATCTCTGCTGTGAGCCACATGGCTGATGAATCCATTAAGTACCAGTGAGTTGCTGGTGGGTGTGGCAATCCAGCTGGTTAGGCTTAGAAATGGCTGTCCCATGCTTCCCTACATTAGGTGCAGTGCTGCAGCATGCTTCCCTTCCTCCACAGTCCTACAGGCAGACCTGCTTCTCATTGTATTTTCTTCTTGTGGAAGTGAGGTAGGGCAAACACTGAGAATTAAACCAGTAAACACTGTGTCCAGTGAAGATGGATGGTGGGTTTTTTTCATACATGAGGGTTGAAAGAGGACATCCATGTCTTTAGTAAGTGCAAGTTAACATATGGAGTTAAAATCCTTCACTGTTTGAGAAAACGGATGGTGAAGAACCACAGGCTTCTGTATTGAGGAAGTAAAAGCTCCTTAGAAAGCAGAAACACCTCAAGTTGAAACTGTAAAAGTTGTGCATCAGGGAAATAAGTCATTGCCATATTGGCACACTGCATTCTCAGGATTTTTAAAATGAAATTGTTCCATTCAGACTCATTACTTTGGTATTGCCTTATATGACAAATGGCAATTGGACAAGAAAACATGGGGCCTTTTCACTTACAGAAACAAGGAAGAATATATTTTCTCTTAAGGCCTACCTAATAATCTCCCATTTACAATGAAATCCTCTCATGCTGTCTATCCTAGGAGCAACTCCTGTGTCTAAGTATTTTAAAGTGTAGACAATAGAAGGAAATATTCAAGTAAGATCCCTGAAATTTAGCTGCTCTGTATGGCAACCAGAGGAGGGGCTGACTGCAAGAAGCACACTTGATTTCAGAAAATATTGGGGGGATGAAGCCCACTGAAAGAGAAATGTGCTTTTTCCAGTTGCCCATAACTGAAGTAAATGGATTTCCCATGAAATCACATCTCCTGATAGGAGTAGCTGGGTATTTCTGCACAATCAGGGAACTGGAATAAAATGATTGCTCCAGTGAGAGGACAAAAATTAGGATGTACTACTTCTCACAGTTATTTTGCACGACTTGGATCTAATCTTTGAGAGCTGGGAGGGAGGCAAGATGAAAGAAGTGAGTGTTCCTGTTTAGAATATGTATCTTATTTGCCTGTTTCTTAAGAAAGAAGAAAGCAACACTTGCAATTATCTCATGGGCGTTTATGCCCCTATGAGGAACTGCTTATGTGACAGAATGAATAAATTGTTTTGAGCACAGTGATCCAGGTAGTAATTTTCTAATAGCGTGTTGATTTTGCTTTAGTTGTATCGTGCATTTAAAAACCAAAACCAGCTGTGGTACAGCAACATGGTTGGGTGCAGTCACTGGAAACCAGAGCAACTGCATGGCCTTAGCATTTGCAGTGGTCTTGAACAGAGGTGTGTCTCAGTGGAAGGACACAGTGGCACTTGTGGGATCAGCTGTCTCAGGGTGACAGCCAGTGTGATCCTCTGTATCTCCAGATGCTTCAGTGGATCTTGAATGATCTTGAATATACGGAAACATTTCAGAAATGCTAGCAAATAGGCACAGGATTTCTCATTTCATCCCTGAAAGATGTTGTTTATTTCTAAAATACCCAAACCATAATAAAAAATGGAGTAAAATTTTCTTCTCCTTTATATATCTGCTGGCAGGTAGTCTAGAATCAGTTTTAAAATCCTTAGGAAGGTACTTACTACAGAGCAGTACACAAATTCCAGAGTAAATGAGAGCCAACAATATGCCACTTTTAATAATACTGTAACAAAATAGTTTTTAAAACAGTATTCAGCTTTTCCAGTTGTTTGAGAAGCAATGTAGACCCCTGTTTGTTACTACATTCATGCATATTTATCAAGTAACTACAGTAAGTGACACTATTGGTCAAAGCATCACCACTTTTTTTTCTTTTTTTCTTTTCACATGATGTACAGCAAGTTATCACAATAGGCTAAAAAAAGATTAATGTTGGTTTCTTGGAGTCCTATGGGTGAAGAGCTTCTTACCCCTACACCCTCTCACACCATGAATGTGCATGTGTGGGAATAGTGACAGCATAACTGAGCTGCTGTAACAACAAAGAGAAAAGCAGGGATGTAAAGATGCAGTTACCTGTCTTTTCCAAAAAGTTTTGTTCAAAGGCAACACCATGGGGAAAGATCATCCATGATCTATAACATTATTACACCTCTAACTGAGGGGAATTGATGGCAATTATATAAATTAATGCCTTAACTGTAATAGCCTGGCTTCTAGCACCAGACTCACCCTGGAACAGCAGTATTCTTTTTCAGACTGGTGAATCATAGAATCATTTATACTGGAAAACAACTCTTGAGATCATCTAACCCTGCTGTTAACCCAGCACTGCCAAGTCCACCACTAAACCATGTCTCTGTGATGCCTTGTGAAGGCTGACCTAGAACAGAGACTAAACAGAGTTAAAGAATAAAGGAGGTATTATTAGAAGGTCTCAATGGCTACACCTTGGGAAGTACAAGAGCCCAGCCAGGGCTACACCCAAGATGAACCCAAGATGGTCACAAAATGGATGACCAGTCATGTGGTCTCTCACTTTTATAAGTTCTGGTCCATTAGCATATTGGAGTTAATTACCCAGTTATAGCTTTAGATTATGAAATCCCATCCTTCTTGTTTTTCTCTCTTCATTCCACTGTTGTTTACACTCTTGGGCCTGAAATTTGGATTATTTGTCCTTGGTCCCCAGAACCAAGGGTCCTTTGTCTACCTATTCTACCCTACTATTCCCTAATATGAAGCTCAGAATTACGCACTAAAGCAGCACAGAATCTGAAAAATGTAAAAGCTAAAACCTGAGGCATCACCTGAGTGCCATATCTACAAGTCTTTTAAATACCTGTAGGTATTAAATGGTGACTTCACCACTTCCCTGAGAAGCCTCCGATGCCTGACCACCTTCCTGGTGAAGATGTTTTTTCTAATATCAAATCTAAACCTCCCCTGGCACAGCTTGAGGGCATTTCTTCTTGTCCAGTGCCTTGTTAATTGAGGGAAGTGACCCCCACATTGGTACAGTAACGTTTTGGGTTACAGAGAGTGATAAGGTCCCCTCGGAATCTACTCAAGCCAGGATGTTGTTGGCCTTCTTGACCACCTGAGCACACACTGGCCCCTGTTTAGCCATTGGCAGCCAGCACACCCCAGTCCTTCAGTGTCAGGCAGATTTCCAGCCACACTGCTCCCAGCGGTGCCTGGGTTGTTGTAACCCAGGTCTAGGAACCCAGAAAAGCTGTAAAAAGGGGAATCAGAGGGTGATTGGGATTGAAAGGGATGGCTACAGGTCATCTGGTCCAACACCCCATGCCAAACAGTCACCTACTGCGAGTTGCAGAGGACAAAGTCCAGATGGCTTTTGATTATCTTTAAGGAGTGAGATTCTACAAGGTCTGTGGGCAACCTGTACCAAAGCTTAGTCACTTGCACAGTCAAAAAATGCTGTCTGATGTTCTGCACCTCCTGTGTTGCAGCTGCCCATTTCCTCTGGTTCTGTCACTGGACGTCATTGAAAAGAGTCTGGCTCCCTCTTTATACCTCCCTTCAAATATTTATATTCATTGGAGATATCCTCTCTGAGCCTTCTCTTTTCTAGGCTGATCAGTCCCAGCTCTCTCAGCCTTTCCTCATAGGAGAGATGCTCCAGCCCCTTCATCACCTTTGTAGGACTCTCTCTTCAGCATGGCCATGTCTTCTTTGCACTGGGGAGCCCAGAATTTGGACACAGCACATGTGGCCACACACCAGGTGTGGCCTCACTAGTGCTGAGCAGAGGGGAAGAATCATTTCCCTGACACCTCCCTGGCACCACTCCTCCCAAGGCACAAGAATAAGGGAAATAAATGCTAGAAATAGACATCTTAGGACCAGATTTGAACATCCAAATACCTTACCCAAGGTCTGAATATTAAAAGCAGTAGTTCAAGTCTTGTCTGCTGCTAGGCTGTTACTTTTTCCAACCAACTCTATTTGAGACAAGAACCACTTTGGGGGCTGAGTGTTCCACGTGGTGTGTTTTGGACAATGAACCTTCACTGCTAGTGAACAGTAGTAGCTCTAAAATGTAGGTTTTGGACCCCTCATCCAAAGGCTTTGGAATTGCTGGGTAAAGGCAATCTATCACAGAAAAGGTGAATCCCCACTTTACCAGCAGGAAAAGACAGGACATGTGCCCTTACATATGCTCATCATGGCACATGTATTCACACACACCATTTCTTCTTCTTGCTTACAACAGAGCAACTTCCTTTTGCTCTGCTTTGGAAAGGTTCTGTCATCTTTGTCAAGTCCACAACCACTCTACCCAGCTGGGCTTCTTCAGGCACTATCCTATAAGGATATGTAATCATTAGGAGGTAGGCTCATTAGCAGCCACAGCTCCTTGGCATCTCCTCTTCAAGCTTCATGAGAAAAGGGTTGTGGGCCCATCCCTTCATGAAAATGACATCCTGCTGCAATCTGAGTCCAGGCAGAATGGAAGAAGTGAAGAAACATAAAAACAGACTAAAGATAGCATATTAGTTTAACACTTCATTGAAAAAAATGTCTAAATAACTGGAGAATTTCCAAAAATTATGATGGAAGGGGAAAAAAGAACTACAGGCACATAGCACAAAACATTCTGAGGTAACATTGTCAGCACAGTAATAATGAGAATTGTTTCAACACTACAAAGAATTTAAATTTTATGAGGCTTTGCTTAAAAAATGTTCACCTATATACAGTAATTTAAAAGCCTGTACTAACATTCCTGTAGTATGTAGGCCAGTTCAAAAGGTATAGTTCATATTGTTTTACAGTTTATAGAAATGTTAATATTGCAGTACTTGAGTCACAAGTACAATCTATCACTGCAACAGGGACCCCTTCTGTCTTAATTTATAAGATTATCTTGATCTTCTTTTTTAATACTAGTCCAGAGAACATCAGCAGACTCTTCTCATCTCACGTGTGTTCTTAATGGAGGATTCTTAGAGGGATCTGTAAATAGATAGGACAGATTTTAAACAGGGATTTTGGATGCAGTTATATAGCAGGGATGGTGCATTTATCTGCTACCCCTGGTATATACATATATATGTTTACATACATACACACACATATTGCTTGTGCTCTGCAGCCCTTCAGTAAAAAGTCAGAATATACAGCAGACAATTTAGCATTTAGCCTGACTGAGGCTGCTTTGAAAAGTCATGCTAAGTACCTTAGCATGGAAACAAAAAAAAAAAAAAAAAAAAAAAAAGGTTAATAAAAAGTTGGAAATCTAATAATACAGAAAACTGGGTTTTATAAAAAAGCAGAATATGGGCATGAGATCTTCTGGCACTTTAAACTACCCATTTTCAAAACTGGATAGCTGAACTGTTCTTACAACAGTGACCTGATTCTAAGTTGCTAAGTTAAGAAAGGAGGAAAAAAATAAAGCAAGGTTCAGCCATTTATCACTTCCTGACAAAGTTCAGGTACTAAGTCTCTTTGTTATTCAGGTGTGTAAAACACCATGCATAGGATTCAAGTCACAATACATAATGGAAGACATGGATCAAGTAATCTTTCTCAGTGATTTCACAAGTTAGCGAACAAAAAAAAAAAATCAAACTCAGTAGCTGCCCAAATCTGTTTTTCCAACATGACTGTTTTTAACATCACAAGTTTTGCAAATTTACCTATCTGAAAACACAGGCTACATGTCCAGCCATATCATTTGTTTTTACCTTAGACTCTAAAGTAACTAAGTGCTTTTCATTGTATCTTTAGTCCCTGTTGCCACTGTGACAAATCCCATTCCTCTCTGTGCCAGTGCCAGCAGTCCAGTTATGCTAATGCTGGTTCAGTTCTTTATTTTGCATCCCCATTTTTAAACCTCTTGATAATGATCAGATCTTTCCATGTTTACACACTTACCTCTGGGTATCTTGCTGGGATATGTTTTCTGAAATGGTTTGAATTCATCAGGTGGGGGAAAATCTTCCACAGAATGGAAAGTAAATTTTGATTCAAAGTCATCTGGGAAGTTTCAGAGAAATAAACATTAGCTCATGCTGGAGAAAAACTTAAAACAACAACAACCAAACAAAAATACCCAAAAAACCTCCCGAAACCCCCAAAACCCAACAATGTTGCCACAAGTAATTTTTATTAAAAATGTTGGCTTATTTCTTCCTGAAACTGATAGTGGCTCATTCTATAGAAAACATCTTGATGAGTACTTCTGTGAGCCATCCAAGCTCTTTGCCTTAATTGCAATCACTGCCTGCTATTAAAACTGAAGTTAAGTCTGCTGTTCCAGTTTTCTGCATTGATTATGGTATTATGGTAATAGAGGCATTCATTGGTAGTTTAAGACATGTAGCTGTAAACAGGAATGAATGGCCAATTCATCAGACCACAAAAATAATTCTTACTGGTCTTTGCCCTATAGGAGTGAAACCTCTAAATGTCCATGATCTGGTTTGAGGAATGGTAATATAAGCACACTATGGGAACTCTTCATATTTTTAAGTAACTTTGCAGGTAGTGTGTGCTTTCTTTTCTATTGACTGAATTCAAATCTTTGAAAAAGCCTTAATTTTCTATAATTGTATAAGCTTGTACAAAAATGTTTCTATTATACTACCCTGTTATTGCTAGGACAAAGTCTTGAGTGAGTTTTTGAGGTCTGAGACACACACAGGCTTTTGTACTAAAATTATTAACTAAGGCCAAGAGATTTAATTTAATGATATTACCAATGATGTGCATATTTCCATTTTTAAGTGGTGTGTAGGGGTCATGAGCTGTAGCCCAGGCTGAGACTCCAGACTTGCTTGTAAGTTCAGTTGTTGGGGATCTTGCAGGTGGCTGTGGAGGTGTGACCAGCTTCCCAGCACCAGTTCCTTTGAAAAAAACGAGGAGACCAGCACATAAGCATCATCATGACTTAACCCAACAGTAAACTACAAAAAAGTGGAGGGGGTGTAGAAAGAATGCAGTATTTGGGGAAAACATACCCATAGCTGTTGTTTGCCAAGCCTAACCACAGATTTGTAGCATTAGGTATTAAATTCAAGTCACTACTGGAATTGGCTGGGGCTTTCCATTTCCAGTTCTAAGGAAAATTGTGACATTCTGAAGTGTGGTTTTGTCCCAGTCTGGAAGGGAAGATTATCTTTCCACTTTCACAAGAAGAAGCAGTCTCTTTAGGCAAAGGAAATCAACAAAACAACCACACTAGGTGGTATGTGTAAAAGAAAATTTCCTGATGCTTTGGCAGGAAATGCAATGGAATTATCATTAGTCTTGTGCATTTCACTGAGGAGTTGCAAGGGCCATCAAAATCTACATCTGGAAGAATGCAGGAGTTGTGTGACAGGAAGGGAGGCCAAGGCCTCCAAGTTAGCAGCCTCTCAAAACTGCTTATCCTCCTACATAACAAGGTACAGGCAGGGTAATTTCATGAAAACACAAATTGAACTAACATGAGAAATGGGCATCTCAACATAGCAACAGTTCATCAGAGAGTTCTGAGCAGCATTAAGCACCACCACAAGGCACCTGACCTGCTGTACTTACATGGCCTTTCCCCTGGCTCTCAAAGGGAACCTGTAATCTTTCTCCTGACATCTGGCTGCTAAAATACAGGGTACAGAACATTCTCTTTCAGATGTTCCCTGTTATGTAGCTGTCTCCATTTCTCAAACCCACACAGATCTAGGCTCACGATCATCTTTTTTATTATTTTCATTACATTACAGGAGTCTAACATAATTTCCCTCTATCATCTACTCAAAGAAATACTGGATAATACTCCACTTCCCAAGTAGTTGGAGAAACCTTTGGCCCAACTACCTTGATTGCAGGAGGCACTGGCTGCTTCCCTTTGTGGAAGAGCAGAGGGCTGCAGCCTGATTTGCTTTTGCTCACCTATGGCTGGTAGCTGCCCCATCTCTGTTTCATTATGTTCTCTGGCGTTTCCCAGCTGTTGCCAATATTGCCCCTGCATGGGTACAGCTGCAGATTGGTATCCTAGGCAGGCTGGCACATGAGCAGCTGCTGACCTGGCACACACCGTGGTGTGTAGTCTGCTCCCCCACCTGAGCCTGTCAGGTACCACTGCTGGAGACACACCATTGCCAACACAACAGCAAGAAGCAGCCCAGCACTCCTAAGACTTGTCTCCACTGATCAGCATGTCACTTCCAAGAGTGGCAGCTTAAACGATAAGGCATGTGTGCCCAGTGCTAAGAACTGCCTGGCATCTCAAAAAGCCGAGTGTTTTGGGTGTTCATCACGAGCCATGCAACCTACGGGTATTCCTCCCATGTGTGCTCTTCATCCCCGCCGCTCCTTGCTCTCCAGTCACCAGTGCAATAGAATGGTTTGGGTTGAAAGGCAGCCTTGAAGAACAAAGTAATCTTCAAGGTCCTGTTCCAACCCAAATCATTCTGTGATTTTCCCCGCTAGCCGAAGGGAGGGAAAAGCCTCCTTCCTTCGGAGGTGCCTCTCTCACCTGCGCCTCGGCCGGGTCTCTTCTTCCTGATCTCCCCCACGGCTGCGGGCTGAGGGGGGCCGGGGGTGGGTGGCAGCGGCAGCGACTGGATGTTGCTCGGCTTATGGAACTGTGACAGCAGGTGGGGAGACTTGGGGGGCAGCGGAGGGGGCACGTCGGCACCGCTGAAGGCCGGGGAGGGAGGAAAGGAGAGCCTGTTCGCGGGCGGGGGGTGCGCGTGTGGCGGCGGAGGAGGCGGCGGGGGCGGCGGCGCGGGAGGGGGACAGTCCCTTCCCTCGGCCGGAGCGGCGGCGGCCGCAGAGGCCTCGGCGGCCCTGGCCGGCAGCCCGCAGGGGGGTGTGGGGGGCAGCGGGGGAGGAGGAGGAGGAGGCGGCGGCGGGTGCGGAGCGCCTGCTTGAGGCTTGGCGGGTTTGTCAGCCTGAGGGGGAGGGAGCGGGGCCGGGGGAGCAGCGCCGGGGTTCACCCCCTTGGCGGGGCGATCGGCCGGAGGGGGCACAGGGGGAGGAGGAGGGAAGGTGAGGGAAGGCTTGCTGGAAGCGGGGGGCGGCGGAGGGGGCGCGGGCAGGCTGGGCCGCCCGGGACCCGCTCCCGCTGCGACTCGGGAGGTGCCGGGAGGCTCCGGTGGGACAGCTGCCCTTGGAACCTCGGCCGGCTGCGAGGGGGTGCTGCTCGCCTTGGCAGCGCCGCTGCTCGGCGGTGCGGAGGGTCTGGGGGATGCTGCTCGGCCTCCGGAGAGCTTCCCTGCTGGAAACCAGGTATCACATGTTACACACTGGGATTGCGCTCCCACTCCTCACACCGAACAGCGATAAAGGCAAGCTCTTCATCTTCCCCTCCCCAGTGGATACCCGGAGGGATCAAACTCATTCACCCCGGTTGCCCACGCTGTAATGGGGCTTAAGAGGTGATGCATTCCAGTGGGCACCAGGGATTCTGCTTAGTTACATGACGACCTGCTGGGAGACCTTGCTCCCCTCCCTGCTCCTCAGCTTCTGCAGAATTAAACTGTTTAAGGAGAAGGAACTTTTCTGCAGAGCCTGGCGCCCTTCACACCAGCCTCGGCTTGCCTGGTACAGCCTGCTGGGTATTGAGGCTCCCGGTGGAAAGTACACGAACAGTGTGCCACTCATCAACTGGCATGCTTCAAGTTAAGTACTTCCTTAGGATGAAAAAATTCACACAAATGCTACAGAAACCTCAGCTCCACGGATAAAAGCCAAGTTTTTAAAAGCAATGCCTCAAAGGCTTTCCGGAAGGCACAGGTTCAGGTATTTCCTTTTTAACAGCAAATGCCTGAAGACTCTTGAACTTACAAAATGTCTTTTCCCGAGTAAATGTCAAGGATTTACCACAAAGCAAGATGTCAAAAAAGACATCTCATTCAACACTCACATAGTCTGATAGGCATGGCCATAGTTTTAAGAACAACTCAAAGTAGTTACTGCCACTGAAGCTATGTCAAAAGCCCCACCACACACAATGCTGTGTGTCTTTGGCTTGCCTTTTGGGAGCAAAAAACCTTCAGGAAGAGCCAAGTTCTGTCTTTCTCTACAAAAATCTACTTTGCTCTGTGCTTCCTGAGCCGGCACCAGCTGCTCAGCAGTGCCAGAGGTCATTACTGTGACTATAAAAGTAATTTCTCATTGATACTGGCACTTCTTGAGGTGAAAGAAGCAGTGGGGCTCCCCATGTGCCTTCCTCCTGTCACTGTGAAGCAACAATACCTTTATTTTTCGGATCAGTAAATTAACTTGTTGGATCAAAGCTATACTCTGTAAAATCCAGAGGGCAAAAATCTTAAATGTGAAGCTTTAAAGTCATACACAGGACTGTAATACCATAGAAATATACACTAGTGGAGGGAAGGAATGTGACTTTGCCATTTGTTCTGAAATTGATAAGCTCAGATTTCAATACTGTATTCAAGTCACAATTAAAAGCTTTCATTAAAATAATGTAAAAACCCCAGCTACAGAGATCTTTTTAATCTCTGTCTTACCAAGTGTGGAGATAGCTTTTTATTTATGTTTTAAGAAATAAGGCACCTGAGACCTAGAAAGGTGGCTTCAATCACATTATTAGTTGAGCCCTCCCTGGTCACAGGATGAACTAAGCATTCAGAAGAAAACCCCAATAAAAATCAATCTGTAAAGCTAATCCCAAATTACTTTTCATCCCAAATTTCTGCCCACCCAGCTCTTTCATACAAATGAAGCCCTTACCTGTCATGTCCCTCTGGCCTGCTGGTCTGAGAACAGGAAAGCCACCAGCAAATAAACCTCCCAGAGGCTGCTGAGAGCCACCTTTATTAACAGCTGGGTTACCTCCATCTCTGTTAGCTCCTTTGGGTTCTATTAAAAAGAACGAAAAATGCAGGGTATATCAGAAAATCATTTCATCCTTGTCCTGAGACTGCTATGGCCTGGTGGCAATAGAAGCCAAGGCTAAACTTTTCCCTGTGCTGTTATTCAGGAACTGCTGTCCCTCTCTGACCTGTACCTTGGAGCACAGCACCCTCTGGTGCTCTTCAACCTCATGCAAATCATGACACCAAGAAGTAGCTGTGTTAGGCCTAATACTGAATTTACATTTCCAGAATTTTTCAGTGGTTTTTTTTTTTGTTCTTTTAATCTAATAAAGAACAATTCTTCTGCTAGAGCCAACAATTCCCATCTAATTACCTTATTGAAATGCTCTTAAGGATTTAATAATTCATTATTTATTTTGGAACAAGGAATGCCTGTTAAGGTGGTAATCAGTTGGAGACTTAAAAGTCATTGATCTCAGAGCAGGATGCAGGTTTAGATATGTCCCCTCTCTGCATCCTAAAGCCATAGGATGATGCAGACCTTTGCTGACCTTCAAACCTGCCCTTCCATTTGAAACTGTCCACCTGACCTCCACCCACACCTGAGGCTCAGCAAAGCTCCCCCAGGGCCTTGCAGAGGAGCCCATGCTCACTTTCGATCTGTGGCGCACTGCGGTCGTTGATTTGGGTCACTTTCCTTAGGCGAGTTCCCTGCTGGATATCGGCCAAGAGCGCGTTCCGTGCTTTCTGCTCGTCCTTTCGCAATTTTGGTATCTCTGAGCTTGCCTGTTGACAAGAAGAGGTTTAGATGGGAGGTACAGACAAAAAATGCGTGTTTAGAAAGGATACACATGGGATAGAAGAGTTGAAATAAGCCCTCCCTGGCAGCTGTCACTCCCAAGCCTTTGAGTTGAATCAACAGGAGCAACATTCTGTTGTGCAGGAGGCAGGAAAGCTGCAAGTTTAAATATGACACAAAACTAATACTAGTTAGGCTAATACTGTTGAAAGCAAATTAGGAAGCATGCTTAAATGAAATGTGACCTCATTTGGCCATTTATGGCCTCTGTCCCACAACTCCAGCTCCAACTGCCTCTGACAGCTCTTATCACGCTATTTACAATGCTTTACATCAAAATTTTTATATGTCAAAATATAATAAATACCTCGTTTATCCACTTTTCTTAGGAAAAAAAGATAAATGCATGCTGCACTTGTATTTGAATGTGATTATTAATTATTTAGACTCTCTGTACTGGAGATTAACACCAGTTTAAGCAGAATGCCTTTAGAATAATACAATTATGTTTTTGTAACGTTTCTATCCTAACCAAGCTTGGTAAGTGTAAAGTCAAGTTGTAGCTTAAAGTTCTTTAATAAAACAAACAAAATTTATTCTTTATTCTTACTTCTTCAAGTTTATCGTTATATATAGTAAAAAGGCATATATTAAAAAAAATTGGATGCTTCACTTTTTAAAAGCAGATAACAAAGCTGTTATTCCTAAACCTATTATGATTAACAGAGCAGTCTAATAGAGGAGAATCTTCACATCAGAGGAGCAATGTTCTGCTTGCTTCCAAAATTCCCAGAGATTAGACAACTCCCTAAAGAGAACGAGTACCAGAAATGTTTCCATAGCCCTTAATTTTAGCACCATAGTTGTAATAAAGCTGAACAATACCGTCACACTTGAAAAAACCCCCAAAGCCAACACAGCTTGATAATGGCATCCTGAAAGCAAAACAGAAACTTGAAAACACTTAACCAGCTGCTGAATTAATAATGTGTCTAACTCGTTAATCCCAAGTGAAGAATCCTATCAGTACGATATTATTCGTGGTTATTTTTGTACTTGCTAAAAAAACCCAAACCCAGCCAGCGGGATTTGCTCCGCCCCGCTAGATGGAGCTCCAGACCGCCGCTAACGCCGCCGCGTTCCCGAGCCCTGATGTAAAAACTCGGAATTACAACCTGCTGATATGTAACCACGTGCTATTTTAAAATGTTAGGAAAACCCCCACTCTGTTACATTTTCCTCGTTTGAAATAGCGCTGCCTGCCCTCGTACTTGCAGAACAGGGAGTCCCACTGTCCATTACGAGGCCCCAGCAGAGCTGCCCGTGCCAGCGGTGTTGGACCGTGTACCAGCCACAAACCATTTCCACTCCCCTTCTCTGGAAGCTGACAGTACTTACTGTGAAAAATGGAAATACCATAACTGGAACAAGGGTGATTCCCTTCCTCACAAAAGCTCTTTACCAGTATCTTCAACTTCTTGTGTCTCTACTCCCACTAATGACTTTGCTGTGGCAGGACAAGCAGATCTAGAGGGATCTGATCAAGAGCTATGTTTAAAATTAGACCTAGCAGCTGTCTTTCATTTCCAGGTTCAAGTGTCCATATATTATGCCAGCTGTCCACTTCACCTCCCAGATCTACTTTTCTGGGCAGGCAGGCTATTAGAATACAAAGTCTTGATACCCAGACAGCTATTAGGTTAAAATAACCAACTTGTGGTGACTTGTGGCAAGTAACCCGTAACTTGATATCAATGTAACACAAGCAAGACAAAAATTTGTGGCATAAAAAAGCAGGACTATTGTTCTGCCATCCCATAATGCAGCATAACAAGCTGCCTCTCTCTTACAGCAGATTCCCCCACTCCAAGCATAACTCCATCCCATGCCCCAGCTGTTTCTTCTTCCTCTTCATGTACATAAGAGATTCAATCTTCCGTTCCCAGCCTGGTGGACTCGGATGATTGATTAGCTGCCGAGGAGCTTGATACGGATTCTCTTTTTCCATTACAAAGTCAAGATGGTCTGGGGTGTAGTGTGCCTGGTTTCACAGCAGTCAGAGCTCCTCTGGATGTTTTGTTTGCTGCCCGCACTCCCAAGGCCAGTGATAATCCTTGCCAAGCATCGTTTCACCAGGTAAGTATCTCACCATCTACTGGTGTCCAGCATTTGCAAATTTCTGGATTTACCGTAATGTTTTTTGAGACAACCTTCCTTTGTTTAATGAAGAAATAAATCTTGGATTCACACTCATGCTGTGCTTGCAATCCATAGCACAAGCACAGATAACAAACATGTAAGTTCTGCATCAAGAGAAAAACGAAGAGGAACTCTCATGGCTGTCAAATCTTCAGCCCTGATCACATGCAATAGAAGTGTTTCAGCAGGAAGACAAATACATTTTAAGTCACAGAGGGAAAACAGCTGCAAGACAAAAGATGTAATTCTTAGGCTACTTTCTACCCCACCATCTGTAGGGCAGCCTCACTTATTTACAAAAATAAAAACATCTCAGTATTTCAATGAAAATCAGAAGGGAAGTGGAGAAGAATGTGAAGATCATTTGTTTTATCAGATGCCAGAGCTGCCTCAGGTAACACAGAGTGAAATTAAATTCCATACTTTATTTACAGGAATTGGTAAGGGAACGGTGGGTTCTCATTACCTTAGCAACCACTAGGTTATTCTGCTACTATTTCAGACACAATGAACGTCACGTTCAGTACATACTTAGAAACAGAATGGAACAAACCACACATGTAAATAGCCTGAACATAAGAATTACTTCCTTTTCATCTCACCCAACTCCACCATGTTTTGTCTTCAGTGTCCTAAATTACACACTCAGGTATGATATGCAGTAAAGTATAGGACTAATGTTTAGGCTGTCTGTCAGGTCTTCAAAATACTTGTAAATAGGAAAATACCATCAAATCATATTTTTAGAGTGATGTTTCAGACTGTAAATCATCAATGTTGGAAATAAACATTTCAGAATTTGAAGCTGGTAACTTAGACTAGTGGAACCATGAATGAGGACAGCATGAATATAGAGAGAGATCTAAATCAGTGCAGCTTGAGGTTGCTTGAAAAGAACAACAAACCAAAACATGTTTCCCCACTGCTACTTGGAGGGGGGGAAGGAGAAAGAAAATGCACAATGTAAAAATGTCAAATGTAAAACTGAAAGTGACTATATTACAAATAATGGTCATATCTCTGAAACTAAAGCCTGCATTCCAAGTCCCACAAACCTGGACCTGGAAGGGGGCTCCAGCAGCAAGCCTGAATTAGCAAGAATGGCAAGGAAGGATAGTACACTCCTCCAGTATTTCTCATCCTTTGACAGAAAACAGTGTGAACAAAAATGGAATCACAAGCTCAGTTCTGGTCTCCAGATTTTTAAAATTACATTGTGGAAACCTAGAGGTGCAAAAGAAAGAGCCAAAGAAGTGCTCAAGACACTGGAGGGAACAGCTCAGATTTCAGCAACTCTGTTTTGACTGTCAGCCCTGAAGTCTGAGGGGTGGTCTGCCTGCACACGGCAACCTGTACTGGGAGTGGTGGGGAGGACTCAGCAGCAGAGACAGGCACTTGGTGAATTAATGCGAGATGCAAACAGACAAGCCACAGAGAGCAGTGCATTATCAATCTCGGTAATACTTCAGATCAAGGCTGGATCCTCTCTGGCAGAAGTGGTTTTTGTGAAGCACAAGTCACCAGGTCCTGTGCAGAGCTACTTGGCGATGTGCAGTACCCTGTGATGGAGTGGCACAGCCAGGGTTTGTAACAGCTTCTTCCAGTTAGGAGTTCTGTGAAAGTGGATTGCTTAGTTTAGAAGAACAAGTCTATTTTTACACTTTCTATACATGGACCACTCCAGATTTGACCCTGAATAATCACAATCTTAATACCCTAAATTGAGTTGTATCAGACAAATTAAGAACTGAGAGACTTTTTCTAGGGAAAACTGACTGAAATCCATGGCAATGAGCTCCATTTCTGGGTACACTCTGCTGTGATATTTGCATCACCTTCAGAATGTCATTTTACATCCTGCAAGACAGATGGGAGCATCGACCTACCCTCTGGGCTCCTACGATACTTAAAATATTTAAGAGACAAACGTGCTCAGATACTAAACTGATGTAAATGCAGAAGACACCAGCCATTTGGAAAAGTTTATATTAATACTAATTATAATCTTCAGATTTTAAAGAGTACCCCTGCACACAGAAAAGAGGAAATCCTCTGGACTCTGGACAGTTAGTTCAGTCACAGTTCATACATACTGTCCCATAAATGGCTTGTATTTTCTCTGATTTTAAATATGCTCTTGAATGCATTTGTAAAGTACTTCAGGTAATACAGATCTACATAAACAGGACAGGAAAAATGTACCTCTAGCCTTCTCGACAACACAACAGCCAGGCAGTCATGGGCCTTTTTTTCAGAGTAAACTCGTCAGGTGATGTGAAAAGATGATCCAGTACTAAAATGATGCAGTTCTAAATTAGATAGGAGCCATAAGTAAGATAAAATAAAGCATTATTCCATCCGAAGGCACTACATACTTTTACTCAGAGAACTTAATAGTACCAAGTATTTACACTTCTAATGTGCAATGAATTGTATCATCATAGTAGATTCCTTCTCCTGGTCATATTTTACAGGAAACACTGGGAAGACATCTGTGTATAAGATTATTTATTTATCTGAAATAGATAAAAAAATTAAAACAAAAAAAGTCAAAACATATTTAGCTTTTCCCTAATTATTTTGTGAGACATATATTAATAACATTAAAGACCAATCAATACATTTGCCATCGGGATTTTATTATGGGCAGAAGGAAAGCTCTCCCTTTTGCTGACAATATAAATTATTTCTATGATTCTGGTGGCAATTAACCTTCTTCTCTCCCATTACCAGTTTTTCCTCCTGTAGAAAAAATCTCCCAGACTCAATGCAGAGATCAAGCACAGGT